AATGGTAACTTTAAAATAACAGAAACTCTTTTAAATGTCATATGTGACCCTGGACCACAAAACCAGTCTTAAGTTGCATGGATATATTTGTAGCAATAGCCAAAAAATACATTGTATGGGTCAAAATTATATTTTTTTCTTTTATGCCAAAAATCATTAGGATATTAAGTAAAGATCATGTTCCATCAAGATATTTTGCTAATTTCCTACCGTAAATATATTAAAACTTAATTTTTGATTAGTAATATGCATTGCTAAGAACTTCATTTGGACAACTTTAAAGGCGATTTTCTCAATATTTAGATTTTTTTTTTTTGCACTCTCAGATTCCAGATTTTTAAATAGTTGTATCTCGGCCAAATATTGTCCTATCCTAACAAACCATACATCAATGGAAAGCTTATTTATTCAGCTTTCAGATGGTGTATAAATCTCAATTTCGAAAAACTGACACTTATGACTGGTTTTGTGGTCCAGGGTCACATTATACAAAAACCCATAAATAGCCCTTGATTTCAACAATTACTCTCCTGATCCAACCCTATGCAAAGCATGTTGGGAACTAAAAAGCCACTGCTAAATTTTTGGGCAGAATTCAGGTAGCTTTGAATAAAAATAAAAAATATAATAAAATAAAATAAACAAACTTCAGTTTTAAATAGTGTATTGGACACAATTCAACTAAGTATAAACAAAATGTTTAGCAAATGTGTTCCTTTCACTCATTTTAAGTAAATTTAACAAGCAGCAAAAAATTCTACAGGAAAAAAAAAAAAAAAAGTTTTTAGTTTCAGATTTGAACATGGCTACAGTTGGTGCACATCTGAGGTCTTCTGGAAGCTGGTTCCAGCTGCATTTGTTGGCATAAAACCTAAACGCTGTTTCACCATGTTTGGAATGAACCCAAGGTGTCTCCAGCTGACTCTGTTCTAATGATCTATAAGAGGTCTATTCAGTTTATATGCTAAAATCATATATCCACGTATCTGCAACCTTGGACATTTTGTCATTTATAAGTAATTTCCCTTTAAAATCAATCACATGCCCACATCCTGAAAATAACATGCTTGACATTACATACACTCTTTACCAACCAGTTACATTTTGCTACAGTTTGCAGATTATAAAAAAAGTAATAGCAATTCTGTTTGTTTCCAAGTCTGCTGTTTTTCCTTACAAGTGCCTGTCAATCATGTTCTCTTGAGATCTGACACCTGCAGCATCGCTCTATTCACTTGAGCTGTGATGTGACTGACTCTACCAACTAACCAAGTGCTATAAGGGTCTTTCAGCTCTTGCGTTATCATGGCATTACCTCACAATATCATATCTGAGACGTGCTCCAGAGTAAAGCACTTTGCGACTGCGATGGGAAAAGCTTCTTGCTATATCATCAGAGAAGCTTTCATATACTGAGGTTAAACGGTCAACTGTCACTCAATTTTTCATTCCTTTTCTTCACTGTAACCGAGCACGAGCAGAGTAAGTAAAAAACAGATGATAAATATAAAAACTTACAGGAAAGCAGAGGTTTGGGCATAAGTAAAGGCCCCCTAATAACCAGGGGAGGCCTGTGAGAAAATTTTCAGAAAGACTAATACTGTATGTAAATCAATATTGATCAAATTGGTTTTGCTGATAATCATGCTCTTAAGCACACATGATTGATCTTAAAATTGTCATGATAATAAAAAAGTGTAATTATCTGTCCTTTAACAAAAGGACGTGATGACGCACTAAAGTGATACTAAATGGCTTGAACTGTTACTGGTAATGATAATGAATATATATGCAAAAGTGGGATTTTGTAACACTTTAAAATAAGGTTTGTTAATATATTGTTACAGCATTTCTTAATCTTTGGTTACATTCAGTTAATAAAATAAAATTGTTAATTGTTTGTTCATGTTAGTTCACAGTGCATTAACTAATATTAACATATTCAACGTTTGATTTTTAAAATGTATTAGTAAATGTAGAAATTAACATTAACTAAGGTTAATAAATGCTGTGGAAGTATTGTTCATTGTTAGTTCATGTTAACTAACGTAGTTAACTAATGACACTATTGGAAAGCGTTACCATTAATTTTTTTAACACTAACATTTTATTTTTATTCAAAATGTACAAAATTAATACAAATATATATCTCAGATAAAATGACAAATTTTAGAGTAAAATGGCAATTTACAGTAAACTGAATAAAAGAAGTCCCTCGTGTCTTTCTTGATTTTTTCCCCTAATGCTATTCAGAGTACATCCATATTGTTAAACCTTGTTTATAAACTATTTTAAAAAATGTCTTTTGTCCGTTTTCTCACACGAATATGCTACTTTTCAAGTCAGTTTGGTAATGAGCGATGTGTTTATGCTGTCTTCCTTCTCTAGCATTTGAGCAGTGATAAAAACACTCCTGGGTTACAATATTTTTTCCATTATATGTATCTGATACATGTACATCCATTCAGGAACAAATCTGTGAGGAGGCTGTGAAAATCCTCCTCTGATGGCCGTCTACTGCTAATAGCATCAAAGCACACAGCTGGAGTGAAACTCACGAGAGATCTTTCAAATCAAGCCAGTTCATCCAAAGTGTAAATATAAGTAAGATTAGTAATCATTTTGTGCTACATGCAGGATGCAGTTCATTTTTGAATATATAATCCTAGAAAAATAGGGCCTAAAAGACATCAGTACGGAAATAGATCATTGTAAGTTTAAGAAGTCTTGTTTAAAAATATGTATTTTATGTAACATAAAATGTAAAGCACAAAGACATTCAATTGTATAACAAATATAGCATACGGCATGATTTTTTTTCGCTGAAAAGTGTGGGTCCCAAGTTTTATTAGGGTCCTGGCAGAGATCATTTATGATGTATTCACCAGATGTTTTATGTAATTAAGGTGTCTCAAAATAACATTCACACCAATTTCAGTGAAGGTACTAGTCATTGTGGTGAGATTCAATTTTTGTGAAGAGATGAAAAAAAGAGCATTAGTGATTATATAGCTGCTGCTTTACAATGGCGCATCCCTAATTCCTTTCCACTCTCATGTCTCGAGCCTCTGGGACCTTCACATTTTGTCATGAGTGGCTCTTGTCAATCTTCCACAAGTCAGTGTTATTTGTAAGATAAAACCCATTTGAAACCCCTTTCCAGCAAATAATGATACCTGCTGTTTTTCCCTCTCTCCCTTTATGACTCTAGATGAACATGATTTCCATTTTACACCAGAGATATGAAGAGAGAGATGTATTTCTTTGAAAAGGCGGTTGCTATTAGACAGATTAACCATCACACCATCCTCCGTTTTTATTAAATCAACTCAGCAGGAGATAACGGTTTCAGCAGTGTTCTCCTGGAAGACTCTTATTTCCTATACCATTTTCATTATCACACAATTCATAAAGAACTTTTCCAATTCATTGCTAACTGATCATATTAATTTGGTGGTGTGTATTCCAGGAAAACAATGTAAGCGGCTGAACTGCTGATGACTTCTGAGATGCAATAGCAGGAATTATGATGCATGAAATTGCAGTCTGCTGCCTAGTTTACTAGTGTATATTCCTACACCCCAGCAAGTGATTCAGTGCATGAGTTTCTGTTTTCATGGGAAGAGAATATTCAGCTTCCCCTATCCTCTTATTAGAAAATTAGTTTCTTTCAACCAAGGGTGAGTACTGTACATAAATATTTCTGTCAGTAAACTCTAATAAATTATACATTTATTTTAGAAAATCACTGCACATATTTTAACACAATTTAACATTATAGGTAATAATAGTAATCAGCATTCAAATTATATCGGCACTCTTGAGGGCCACCTCAGGGCGCTGAGAGGTAAACCTAAAAAAACCTGCATGTGGTGCACTTTGGCACGTTTAGAAATGTATAGCATTTTGTAAAGCATCAATTCACTAATTAAAAAGTGAATAAGCAAATTAAAAAAGTAGATTAGGGAACACTATTCACTATTAACTAGTTGCTTATTACCATGCATACACTCAAAAAAATGAAACCTTGACTTTAATTTTTTCTTGTCAACAGGTTAATTATGAAAGTTGAAAACAAATATTTGGAGCTAAAGCTTGTGGCTTGCATTACCTGACACTTTCCGCTCTGTGTGTGTGTGTGTGTGCGCCTGAGCCCTGCCCCCATCGCCGCCACAGAGAGCAGAGGAGATGACAGAAGCAGCACAATGGCATTCATTATGTAAAAATTTGAATAATCTATTTATGATTATAGAAAATTGTCAGTTACAGTGTGCACCAGTTCAGTATCCCTTTACTACGATAGATTTTCAGATCCAGCCAGTGACAAGATGTTCATGCATGCACTGAAACAAGTCATTATACAGACACGTATACACAAGTGAAAAAGTTAGTGTTAGGTGCTAGTGATAAATGTACATTTAGAAGGGTTAGTAACAACAGTTGTTTAACAACACCTACTTTTGATATAAGGATATCTTTTAAATGTAACCAGTCGGAGTGGCCCAACGAAGTAGTCATGTAGTGGGTACTTCTCTGGCAGGGCATCATGTGTTATCGGGAACATTTTACCAGTTGGACATGGTTGCAGTTCAAAGGCCCGGTAGTGCTTCCTAAACCAAGCTGAGAATTTCTTGACTATGAAATTAACTGTATCCTGAAGTACACATATCTTCCACCGGAACAAGACCCTCAAATAGATCATGGAGTATATCAGGAGGATATCCAGTTGTGACATCAAAATAAGGAAGATTCTCTGTCAGCACACATGCCCTTTTTACTCCAACACAAGGTTTTCCACTCTCCTCTGCACTTTTCACATGTTCATTGTGGCTTTCTTTAAATCTTAGACTAAAATCTCCTGACAGAACATACTTGGACTGAAAGTCACTGAAACTCCCTGTGCAAAATCGACACACATATGCTCCAGAAACATTCTCTACAAAGCCTGCAAGCCCATTTTGTCGTAAATGTACAATCTTTGAACATACAGGAGATGGTTTCATGGGATTTAAGATGCAGATTTATGTGACTTAAATATTCCTTATCATTGCCAAGTTCAGCGAATGCACAAACTTGACATCTGAATGTAGCCAATGATGATGTTTGCTGAGATGAGTCTCTGTTATGGGCTCTACAGAGGTGTGATCAAAGTGCATTCCATGACTTGAATGTACATGGACAACTAGTATATGGGCAAGGATATGGGTGCCTACACCCATATTGAGGATGTTTTAACCTATAATGTTTTAGTAACTGACATCTAGTTGAGGTCTTTGAACCGCAACCTTTACACTGCCACATTCAATATCTGTAACAAGCACACATACCACCAAAAAAAACAAAAACAAAACAAAACTGTGATTTCAGTTAAAAGAAACTTGACTTGCAAAAAAAAAAAAAAGATTTTAGTTTTACAAATAACATACCATATGACTTAAAATAATTAAAAATAATAATTTAAAACATTTATATAATCTGTTAACTGAAATTATCAATTGCTACTGATAATTAAAAGTAAACAGGATACAAATAGAAACAAGCTACTCAGAACTAACAAATGAAATGGTCATGCAAGAAACAGTATTTACATTAGTAGATGTTGCAGATCTTACCTATTGTGAGTAACGCACCTTGGCAGGTACACAAAACACACCTTTCATTAAGGACCTGAAAAATTGCAAAGGATAAAAACAAACAAAACAATTTGATAAAGATTTTGTGAAATTGAATTAATCTGAACTGAATAACTACAAACCAATTAAATAATCACACTTTGTAATTTTTATTGAAAGTATCACAACAAATTTGAAAAAACAAAAGTTTCAAACCAAATATTAACCACTGTTAATTTTGACAGCAGGTTTTAGTTTAGTTTTAGTCGGATGGACACCTAGTGGTTGAACTAAGTATTGCAGTTTCAACGGAGAATGACTGTAGCATTGTTTTTCAAATTAACAAGCATGTTAACTTAGTACGTTTCTAAAATATATCTGCAAACATAGTGTATTTGTATGCTTTAGTAGAGTCAAAAACTTACAATAACTTAAACGCTACAGTCAGAAAAATGAAAGGGAAGTTACACACTTCAGGTATACATTTTGACATTGTGTAATTCTATTTATTAAACGTGTAGAATAATTTCCAAAACATTACATATAGCATTATAAATGTTGCGTTCAGGCGTTCATGATATAAAAAATAAACATACTAGTATAACTTTTAAAATGGAGTGAACACGGAGCAGTTTTTCCGTGAGCGGGAATGGAAAACCCGGAGTGGATACCACGCGGAGTGATTAACAGAACCCGTACAGTAAGTAGAGAGAAGAAGTGCTTTCAATCCACGCCAGGCTTTGATCACATCCCCCTCAGCAGGCTGAATACACCTCCTCTTTTCTAATTAAAATTAAGACATTTATTACACTATTTGAGAAATGTAATCCTATTAACAGCCTTAAAATTATGAAAAGTGAATATAAGACATTAAGGACAGACAGGAACCCTGCAATTGACGGAAAAAATCCGTCGTGGACTCGCTCCAGTTAACGGAAATCCATCGTAGCGACGGAGAACTTTAATCCATGAACTATCTCTTATTACTTTTCTTTTCGCCCAAATAATGGAAATATGCAGCGGACCAACCTACGCCACGTGGCTAAACTAGCATGCTAACGTCAGCATGTCTAGGACGCTAGAACTCTCTAAAACGAAAGCAAGCCAAAAATAAAGAACATATCTCTTATTACAAATAAAAAAGATCGATACTGGTGGAAAAACAAATATCCTCCTACCTTTACCAGCCGTTGAAAAGGTAAGACGTCCCTCTGTCAAAACCAATCGAAGAAAAACTTTGCAGGGGGTCACGCAGGTGTGCAGAGAGTCAAATATCGTTGCGCACGTGTAGTCTGACGCGTCTTGCTCTTGCTCTTCTTCTTCTTCTTCTTCTTTGGGGTTTCATGGCAGTTGGCGTCGCACTATACTGCCACCCTCTGGATGTAAGAATTTTTTACTTAACATAAATGGTTTGTGTTTAGACAACGCGTTAGGATTTTGTACAGTTAAATTGAGACATAATTACGTGGACCTTTATAGAAAAAAACATTTCAAGTCAACAAAGACAATTATTATAAGTAAACTGAATATAAATATATTATGTAAAGTGCACAACTTCCTTGTTCATTTTTTTGAGTGTATTACTAGCATATTGGTTGTTTATTAGTAATTATAAAGCACTAGATTTCTAGTGTTATAAATTTATTACAGATAAGTTGCAGGAATGTTTAAGAAATTAGTTTAAGAAATCAAGATACCAATTTTTATTTAGCAAGAATGCATTAAATTTACAGTTTCTTGAGCACCAAATCAGCATATTGATCATCATGTGATACTGAAGACTGGAATTCAGAATTCAGCTTTGCCATCTCAGGAATAAATTATATTAAAATAAAAAACAGTTATTTTAAATTCAAGCAGTGTGTCACACTATTCCTGTTTTTACAGTAGTTTTGAACAAAATAATGAAGCTTTCGTAAGCATAAGACTTAAAAAATAAATAAATAAATAAAAAACTTTACGAACTTTCAACGACCCCAAACTTCTCAACGGTGTAAGTATACAGTAGTGGAGAAGTGGCAGTAATGGCAAAACATCTCATCCATCATGAAATTAGTAGACATGCTTGTTTTAATGAGCAGACTAGATGAGGAAGAGAAGGACAGGATGGGTAATTAGTGTTAGTATTTAATTAGGTTGTAGGCTTAGATTGCTCTGAGTGCTATTTAGATGGTTTGCATTGTTGACCTTTACAGCTTAAATTGACTTAAGCCACAACATCTCGAAAAATTTGTGGCGCCTAATAGAAGATGAATGATTTAGTTAGGAGCGGCATATGTTGGTGGCCTACCTTATGAATATTAATGCAAATGTTGCTCTAAGATTAAACACCTTGAAATAGTTTGACATCGTCAAGTTGTGTGCATGTTACAGATCAATTAGCTGCAGGAGATATTTTGTCAATGTTATTTCTTTTCAAGTACAGCATACTATATTTGAGAGCATATTTCAGATTGTGGCCTGCTGCCAGTAACGACACTCACTCCATTTAAGGAGCAAAATCAATTCCTACATTTCATGGCACTCTATCATACTTCTGTAATAATCGGACATAGTTCAGCTATATTGAGGAAGTGATTAGAAAGGGTTGTGCGCAGTGATGTCAACAATTATGCGCCGTGGCTAAAGATCTTATAAAACAAGTACAACTAACATCTGAACTGCTGTAAGTTTTCCCCATTATCTAGTTAATTACAAATAGCCGTATTTACAAGGCCAGTCCAGAAGGAATGACTTAGCAAACAATGTACTATAGGTGTTAGCTAAACGAAAAATAACTACTATATAAGTCCTAGAGTGAAATGTGACGAGGTGAAAGATAATAGGTGAATAATTGTGTTTTTATGCACTGTGTGGGAGGCAGTGAGAAACTTTACTGCTAAGCCCCACAGCTGTTCACTGTAAAATCTGTCCTCGCAATTACTTTACGGCTGGCCCGCCACCACCTTTTTATATCTGTGTGCACGGATACGCACATCTCACGTTAAAGTTTGGCTTAGCGTTGGCGTCACTGAACCGGCTGGCGAAGATACTGTTGCCATGAAAACTTCCTCCATCCTTGAGGAGTAACTCGCTTCGAAATTGACCTAATGAATCATCTATCACTGTCCATGCGCAAAATAAAAGACGCTACTCACCAGTCAGATGAGATTTAAAAGCCGGTCTGTTTCTGTTGGCTGTTGTTCCTATCTTAAGATACACCGTCTGCGTACTAGTGTCCAAATGCGTTTTTTTCTCTCTCACTGTGTGTGTGTGTGTGTGTGTGTGTGTTTGACTGTGTAATTCTGCTTTTGGCAACCAGGAATCTTCATGAATCCACTGGCAACGCATCTCACAGCTGGCCCAGATTCTTCAGCTTCCTTTTCTCTTGATGATGGCTGTTGTTGTTCCTGAAAACACTGTTTTACCTCCTCATAACTCAACGTGTAAAGAGCCAAACCACCGTCTGTACCTGAGTACTTCCAGAGTGAGTTTGAGTGGAAGTATTGATGGAGCTATTTAAATTCACTTTGAAGTTGCTTATGGGCTCTATTTCCTACACCTTTTCCCTGACTTGAGTGGGTTAGATGGTATGAAGAGGGGAAAATTGGCTTTCTGAGCTGTAATTAGCCAATCAGAATGCTTTTCTCGAAATCATCCAAACCACATATGAGCGTTAATGGAGGCTGAAGGCAACAAAATTGTTGGAGTTTCCAAGATCAGAGGCGAATGGCACACATTGAACTCTTAAAAACATCAAAATAATGCCATTGCGTCTCGATTTAGGATCGTTAAGCCTTTGCAGTATTTTCGCAAGTGAGTGCAGAACAATGCTTTTAATCACCGAAGACTGTTGTGCGCTTTGGATTCAAAGACTGGAGGTAATATGTAAATCCAAAATTAATGTCTCATTCCCTGTGCTGAATGAAGCACTTGACTTTGACAAGTTTGTAACAAGTCAGCCTCTATTCGCAGCAAATGTAATCAGGCATACTCTGCCTCTCCGCAAGGCTTTTTCAGAGAGGCTGATATAAATCAGGTTTTGATCACAGCTCATTTTTATTTATAAGATCTTGTAGAGGCAAGTTTTTCAAGGGAAGACAACATCATATTTTTGGAAGCCACAGTGTAGCTACAGGTAAATTGGCTCTTCGCACAGATTTGTCACTATCGGTCTCATTTCCCATGTAGTGATCTGAGAGCGAGCATGTAGTCCATCAGGACACTTCAGACGACATCTTCTCCAGCTCAAACATTCATGAGGAGCGTCTCTCTCTGGGATACGCTTGGCATGCTCTCCCTTAGAAGTTTTGATGATAATTGGCAAAGTAGCAAGTGGCCTGAAATCATAATTTGCAGGTGGATGTTTCTACTGGCAGAGAGTTTTTGCTATCTCCGATTTGAGGAAAAGAAGCTGTTGCCTCATTAAGATTGTGCCTGTACTTTTTACACTGACAATAATGTGATAAAAATTACGAAACAGAAAGACAAAAGCATTGAGTAATTGTCATAATCTTTTAAGAACAATAATGTTAGCTTTAATTTCCAAGACAAAGCCGCTGCTGTCACGTCAAGGCCTTTTTTTAAAACCAGCTGCCATCACAACTTTTCATCGAGACTCAGTTCCCCAAAATTAATAAATCTCTTCCTGGAATTTGTACATTTTTCAGTTCAGTGTTTACATAAACAGAGAATAGAAAGTTTAGCTGGGAAAAGTGGTGGGCAGAGAGAGAAGGAAGGATGGAGAAAGAAAAATCAAAGGTCTATGAAAAGGCTAAGAACCAGAGCTTTGAAGTTATTATGATGTGCTGCTCATGTACAGGATACACCAATGAGGACTTTCGCTTGATCCCGTGGGATCTAGGTTATTGACCTTGCACTTTAACGGTATAACAGGGCTTTTCTTGAAGCGCCAGAGGTGTTAATTAAATGGAGCGGCAGAGTCAAGGACACAGGAAATGCACGGACAGTGACGAGTCTTGTTTTACTCCACAAATAACCATTTATTCTTCACACATTTAGCGTAAATCACGGTTTATTGTAAAGGACACAAGAAGGTAGAGAAACAGAGAGATGTAGCAGTAGATTAAGTACTCGGTGCATGGCACATCATTCTTAGGGAGACGACTCACTGTGAGTCGGGTTTTTCTCTTTAATTCTGGCACCAAAAGCTCCGAAATATTCAACAGTGATAGTTGGCCAGCCAACTTGAGCCTCGTAATATGGAGTAGGAGGAGTAAATTAATCTTTGCTACAACACGAGACAAACCGTACCTTCACATTTTAGCTGCGTTTAACAGTTCTTTTCGAGAGTTGGGATTGATTTTGTTTCGGTTAGGGCTGCACGATTAATTGGAATAAAACTGAAATCGCGACATGGCTTAGTATGATTATCAAATCGCAAAGACTGCAAATTATTGAAATAAATATGTGCACTACGTGTTTCAGAGTGAAGTGGCATTGTGTTTTTACACACTTTTACACATGTGCTGCCAAAATGAAAGCTTGATGTTTTAACTTTTGTAAAAAATAATAATAATAATACGTAGTATTATTGTAATTTTACATTTCAATTTCACAATTTTTATCAGAAAAAAAAAATCACAATTCGTTTTTTTCCTCAAATCGTGCAGCCCTATTTTGCATTCAGGACATGGCTCAGTATTTTCAGAAGTTGCTCAGACAAAAGTTTGAATTTGACCTCATGTGTAAATTTACAGAACTCAAATGACCCCCAGCGTGACCTTTAACACTGAAATTCTGGTCTGAGGTGCCAGAAATAGCTTTTAATTACAAACAACACAAATCAAACAACATTGTGTCCTCACTTTGGGAGAAAAATAGAATCAAAATAGATAGTGAACAAAAAAATAATAGTTATTAAAAACAACCAGTACCATCGTAACCTTGTAAAATCAATATCTAAAACTCTATAATGCATGCCATACTATGCGGTTGATTTTTATTAAGAAAGTTCAAAATCGAATGTTGGGAATTTCTTTTTCTACATTAGCAGTGTTAGACTGAGTATTTTGTGTTTGTGTCTGTCATTATTTGTGTTTGCCTACAGTGTATGTGTGTGTGTGTGTGTGCATGTGTGTGCTTATAAACTCAGTGAATGAAGAGGGGCTTAAACAGATCTGACATCATTTTTACCATGCAGAAAATCTGCCAAGTCTTTCACTGTCCCTTCAGTTGTGTTTGTCCATTTGTGTCTTTTTTAGGTCTCCGTCTGTTTTCACACTTTCCTCTGCTGACCTTACTTGGCCTTGTCCGATCTGCTCTGGGGTCTTAGCCTATAGAACAGAGATGACAACAGAAGAGAATACATGCATACCGTGGTGCAGCGGACTCTGAAGTCTAGC